TACGCGTGCTGCAGGCCTCCCCACGCGTGCTGCAGGCTCCCCCAGGGCAGGGCTCCCCACCCCATACGCGTGCTGCAGGCCTCCCCACGCGTGTTGCAGGCTCCCCCAAGGCAGGGCAGGGCTCCCCTCCGCCTGCAGCAGGCTTCCCAGCCCCCTGTCCCCGTGCAGCCCGCCCCTCCCCAGTCTCTCTGTCCCTCTCCCTCCTTGTCAGGCTCCCAGCCTCCCCTGTCTTTGCGTGACCAATTTAGAGGGAGGAGGGGGACGATGCCGCCTCCTCTGCCTCCCCCTTACCTCTGATTGGCCGGCTGTGCCATGCCCATCAAATTGAGGCCCGCAGCGGATTGGCCAGGCTGCCAGACCAGGAGAGGCTCGGTCCCCACAGGGCTCCCCTCCTCCCCCTTCCCTTCGCAGCAGTGTCCTCAGAAGACTCATTGGGCGAAGGGCCCCCCCCCGCCTTGGGTGAGAGCTGCCAGGGCACTCGCTGGCAGCCCTGCTACTCAGCCTGGCTGGCCTGGCCATAGGCTCCCTGGAGCAGTGTGGGCGGGGCTCTTCCCCCTCCTGTGACTAACTAAAGTCTGTGAGTCACTGCACAACCCATCAATCCCATTAAATGCCGTGTGCGGGCAGGCAGGCGGTGCTGCCTCTGCTGCTCCCTGCGCTGCCCCAGCCCCTGTGCATGGGCTGCCGCCGCTTCCCCCTCTGATACATGGCTGGCTGGCTGGACTTGTTACAGTGTCACATCCTCCCCGCCAGCTGCAGCACCAACTTCCCCCCCAGCTAGTCTCCTCCTGCCCGGGGCTGCTGCAAAGTGATGGGATAGAGCAAAGCCACTCCAGCACCTGGGCTTCTATTTATTACAGTCTGTCTCCCTGTCCTATTCCTTGGTTGTTCTTCTTCCTCTCTTGCTTTTCCCTTCTTTATTTTATTCCTCCCTTCCCCCTTGTCTTGGAGCCTAGATTTGTTGAGTTCTTCTGGAAAGGGTGAGTACAAGACATGGCCTTTCTGACTTAACATTTTTGAGTGGTACCCTCTTTTAATGGGAAAAAGTCTTATATGGGGTTTGGGGTCTGCCTTGGCATGTGCTGTTTGCTTATTCAATAAAAGATCTAGAATTAAAAAGAAAATGGGGGTGGGAGAGAGGGTATATGATCGTTATCCTTTACTACTGCTACTTGCTGAATGGGTCACTTATCTGTTGCAAACTGTTTAAAAGTTGAATTGATTTCTTTAAAGTTAACTCTGACATGGATCAAAGATGATACTTTTTTTCTCTCTCCTTCTCTTATTTTACTCCCTCTCCCTTACTTCCCTCTTGTCTGTCTAGATTTTTATTTTTTTTTAATTTGTATAAAGTACCTGTGATCAGTACAAATCCACTTGAAATGGCTATAGATACATTCATTGTTTTGAAATAAAAATATTTCTTTTTTTGAGATTGGAAAAAAAACTGTGTAATATATCTATATACTAACTTTTGAAAGTAATTCATATTGAAATGTATATTGATGGAGCAGTAGATAGCTCACTGTCCAAATCATACTGCAGTTCAACTCTTTGAAATTTTGTGTTGTGTGTATGTGCTTTTTATTAAAATGAAACTAGTAAGTAGTTGTAAAGTCTTTAAACCCACAACAAACAAGGAAATTCATTTGTTCTATCACTGCATCCTTACCACACTCTGATCTGTCTAGATATTTCAACACATATGGAATGTATGAGCCTTATGACTGAATCACAGGGAAATGAGTGTATCCAATTGGATTTTTAGCTTTCCGTTTGAATGTCCTTTTGGTGGACTAAACTCAGATTCAAAATATTAGTGTAAAATAGTTTGACCTGGAGTTTGTTTGTATTGATCGTTTAAATATGGAATTAAAAAATGAGACTGGAGTATTAATTCATGTTTTGTATAACCATAATATCCAAAGTTGCTAAAATGAAAAACTAAGTCCCAACCCCAACAAGTAGTTACAGTGTATCTCCAGAAGATACTTTCTAAGCCTCAGTACTTTACCTATGTATAAAATATTTTAAATAGCAGACTAATAACTTACAACATTCAAATCAGGTAAATAAAGCAGTTTTGAATTGTGGTGTTTGGATGTTTATGCTCCTTTATTACAACACTCCAATTTTGTCTCTATCTCGTGGCTAAAAACAGTCACTAGAAATTTCCGCTAAACTTTGTTAAAATCAATGCCAGACTAAGCTCTTGTACACCAAGTTCAACACTCCTTTAAAATATATATATTTGTAAATGAGAAGAAATCAAGATAGCTATGATTTCGTTAGTCAGTGACTACTGAAATGAAACCCAGCGATTTCAGCGATTGTTCAGAGACAATAAAATTGGACAGGTGAGAAATTCCTATGTTGTCACCCATGATATTGAAAAAGGAAAAAACTTAGATGGCTGAGATACTAAATTCAGAGCTTGGTAACTACTTTTTGTTAATTTTTTTTATTGTACATATCAATTATGAGCCAAAATCATTGCTTGCATAACACTGTCAGACCCCGTGTACTTACAGTAAGCATGAATTTGCCCAATGTGTGTTACAGTTGCTCTCATAGGGCCCTTTTAGATATGGTCTGTTGAGTCAATATTACATAGGTAGGGCCCTACCAAATTCATGGCCCATTTTGGTCAATTTCACGGCCATAGGACTTTTAAAATCATAAATTTCATGGTTTAGGCTATTTAAATCTGAAATTTCACAGTATTGTAATTGTAGGGGTCCTGACCCAAAAAGGAGTTGTGGGGTGGTCACAAGGTTATTGTAAGGGGGGTTGTGGTACAGCTACCCTTACTTCTGCGCTGCCTTCAGAGCTGAACAGCTGAAGAGCGGCGGCTGCTGGCCGAGAGCCCAGCTCTGAAGGCAACGCCGCTGCCAGCAGCAGCGCAGAAGTAAGGATGGCACGGTATGGTATTGCCACCCTTACTTCTGCGCTGCTGCTGTCGGGGTGTTGCCTTCAGAGCTGGGCACCTGGCCAACAGCTGCCGCTCTCCAGCTGCCCAGCTCTGAAGGCAGCGCAGAAGTAAGGGTGGCAATACTGCGACCTCCCTAAAATAACCTTGTGACCTCCCCCTCCCCCACAACTCCCTTTTGGTTGAGGACACTCAATTTGAGAAACGCTGGTCTCCCCCATGTAATCTGTGTAGTATTGGGTAAAAGCACACAACAGACCAGATTTCATGGTGGGAGCCCAGATTTCACGGTCCGTGATGTGTTTTTTATGGCTGTGAATTTGGTGGGGCCCTATACACAGGCCTGTTTCACCTCTCTGGAACCAGTTTTTATACTAGTGTACCTCCAATAATTTTAATGGAGTTACTCTTCATTTACATCTGTATGGGAAGAGATTAGAATCCAATGTTTTCAAAAAGCCTCCAAATACTTACATGACAAACTGTGATTCCAACTCTCATCGGAGGCAGTTCTGCTACTGTTACTCACACTGAATGATATTTTACTACATGAGTAGTCCCTTTTATCCCAGTGTGACTACTCACATGCTAAAATACCAATCAGTGTGAGTAAGGGTGACAGGATCAGGCTCTTAATATTTATTTTTTTCCTTGAAATAAGAATATACTGGATTACTGATATATTTCTTGGGGTCATGGCAAAATTTTCTGAGAACTAAGCGTGAAGTTATTCTATTAAATGATTACACCAGAAATAACTGTTTAAGACGATCCCTATGCTACAAATGAAATAAGCAAGCAAGTATGTATTCTGGGTGTTTCTCTTGATGCTGTGGAAGGTAGAAAAGGATTGTTGTGAAATTCAGTATCTTGTAATGAAATTCTGTGCTGGAGAGAATTTTGAAAACTGAAGGTCTTGCGGGAGGCAAGTTGATAATGCAGTGTTAGAGGTGCTTTTTTACAATATGGCATGAAGAATTTTATTGTTGATTTCAATGGGCACAGAAGCATTTCGATAGTCTTTGTTAGAGCAGTTGAAGTTGTAGGAAGTGTTCACAACGCTACTCCTCTGACTGACTTCTGTCTTAGTAGAAAGACCTGTGTTAAACAGACTGTTAAGAAGAAAACCTGTCAAGTGAAGTGGTGTTGTGTCCTGCCTTGATGCATTTCATGTACTTTTTCATAAATTTCCTGAAACTTGTATTGGACACGCTCAGGATGAAAGACAATTATTTCATGTTTGTTTCATGTTTTCACTTCCTTTTATGACTGTATTCATTGCTACACTTTTGTGTCACTGATTGCGATATTATTGTAATTAACATTAATTATGCAAACTAGATTGTTGTTAGAGGTTCTCCCACTCTGTACTGATACTGTCGTCTTGTTTGTTTGTTAAACAAGAATGCATACATTTCAGGATGCTGGAGGAACTACAGCTCTTAGTTACAAAATAGTATCTGCATGGGAAACAAAAGCAAATGCCACTTTTAGCTCAAACATTTTGTGAAATTTTTATTTGACAGCACTGCTTAGTCACACAATTTGATCTGAAATAATGAGGCACAGTAAACAAGGATACAAAATAGGAAGTAAGTATAGTGGCTGTGTGAAGAGAGTATGTAGACTTTAGAGTTTCACCATCTTCTTTCAAGATAGACAGGATTATTGAGTAAAATCTGCAGTCCTTATTTGAATAAAGTTTCCATTTAAGTATGTGAGAATTTTTTGCCTGCTTAAGCAAAACAGAATTTGGCAGGTAGTAAAGTGCTAGCTTTGGCAAAACAAGCCGATGGAACAGGCAACTTTTTGCTTAATTCTTCTTTTTTTGTTTTTAATTTTTGCTTTGTTGTCTCTAAAAACCTCCACATCAACTTGAAGGGTGATTAGTTTTACACCCTAACTTTTCTAAACAGAAGTGCTTGTAGAAAAAATGATTAAAGTCTAATAATGTTTTATATAGAGGAAGTACAGTAATTATATTTGAATTAATTCCTTCAGATTGATTATAGTGAAATTAATAGAAATCTTTAAATCTGACTTTGAATTGCCCCTATGAAATACTTGAGAGCTGAAAGTGATTCATGTTAGAGTCTCAATAGAAATCATAATTGCAGGGATATTTGTGTTCTGTTTTTATATTCATAATATACTTACAGGAGAAATACCATGGCGGAGGGAGAATTTAAATTGGAATTCTTTTACACTGTCAACATTCTAAAGTGTTGGTGTATAAACCTACTGTAAGACATTAGAAAACGATTCCCAGTTTTCCTCTGACTTTCCATACCAAATAAGCAATCATTTGTTTTCAGTTTGTATTCAATATTTGTCTTTTGTGCAAGACCATCACAGTAGTTCTCTGGAATGTTAAAAACAGTACCCTGGGCTCTAACAAGTGGATGTTATATAATTAAATGGGAAGATTCCATAGTATTAGAAAATTACCATTTAGCAATGTAGTGAGTCTGTTAAGCCGTGGAAGTGATTTTATGAAAATCAACAAAATGCTGATTTTTCTTCTAATTGTAGATCCATGTTAAAAGAAAAAGATGCTATTTCTTGGTAGCATTTCACATTGGCTTGCTAAATACTTAATTTAGAAAGGCATTCTCTTCAGTTTAGACAATACATGTAAAGATGATACATATTTTTTACTTTTGTTTTTTTAAATCTTTATTTATTAGATTGCCTTCCAGAAATCAGACTAACATGCTGGCCTGTAAGTGATTTCAGTGGGTCTGTCAGCAGAATCAAGAGAGAAGGTCACTTGTTTTTCAGATGACATGCTGGCATGACATTGGTTCCTATTGCCTTAATGCTGTGTATTCCTTCACTTCCAGCTCATGGTTCCATACTCATGCTCATGCTTTGAAGTAACTCAGGTGTATGGAAAGTTCCAGTATACCAGGATGTGATGTACCCAAAGTAAATTTGAAAGAGAAATTGTGACCTTAACTATTTTAGAGGGTGGGGTGGAGAGAGTTGGTATTGATCTCTGTAGAATCTGTAAAGTGTGTTAGCCTCTCCTTGCCTCAAAGGTCCACCTGTTCTGGGATTAGCAAAACAAGTAACTAGACCCATCAATCACATTAAGTACCTGGGGAGAAAGAAGTAACAAATTGACAGCCTTCCTCTGTAGCGTGTATGAAACATTAAGTATTGGTGATCTGTATGAGATGATATGGGACAGTAAATGGGAGCTGTTAACCCTTAATGTCGGGACTTTGTGTTTTGCAACTGAAATGGCAATTACTTGATTAAAATAAGAAAACTTGTTTAAAATCTCCAGAGTGTTATGACCCTTAACCAGATACTCCAAAACATTTATTCAAGCAAGATAAGGTACTCTGAATCTTTTCTTGTGAGGAAACTTGCCTGCCTTAGTGATCTATACTGTAATTCTTAACTCCCCTCGAATTCATGTATAACAAAGTCCAAGTCCGCAGCTTTATGAAGAACCTACTTCATGACACATGTGAGGAGTGCAAGTACTGAGTTTTGGTATGTTGGGGGCTTACAAAGCTTGGTTTTGTATGAACAGAAACTGTTCAAAATGCCAGATTCATGATGCATGCAACAGTAAAGGTCACCAACTTGGAAAATTAATAATATGGTTCATGTTGACATTTCAGAGGGAATGCAGATTGGAGTGAGCCACACCCCAGTCTGTTCTGGTGGTTCCCATGGACCTGCATTTTTCACTGCATTGAAACACACAAAATCAGCAGTGTTCCCCTTTTCTCCACGCCAGCCAAAATCCTTTCTATGGTAAAACTGAGAAAATGTTTGTAATCTTCAGCATTTGATTGTTTGTTATTAAACAGAGCCAGTGAGGGTCAGAGTGGGGCTTTTAGTGTTCATCTGCATTTTAGAAGCTGTATTTTGTCTTCTGGTCAGGTTGTGTTCCCAAAAGACCACGGGAGTCAGAGTTAGCACATTTTACAAATAGGTTCCTGATTCTCCAAAATATTGCCTGTAGTTAAGGAAACTTATTATGACCCTGTGGCCTTCACTACTTTTCTTTGGCACTGCTGTGGGAATCAGTTCAAGGATAGTTGTAAGAACATAGAAGTGAAAAACAGGGATAAAGAAATCCTAACTTGAGCCAGAACAAACTTTTTTTAGATTCAATAACATAAAGCCAGAATCTCAAGAAATAACGAAGATGTTACTTTTCATAAAGTCACATAAAATGTGAAGCTTCTAAGTGGAGAGGAAATTGTAATTACACCATTGTTTCTGTCTTGTAAACCATTCGGCCATTAACAGTGAGGTTAAAGAGCATTAATTCGGACATCAAATTTCTTGTGAACTTGGAATTTTCCTTGTCAAAATTAAAATTTGAATTTGTTGCATTTTCCTATATATACTAGAAACTTTGGGGAAGTTTTTAGTTTGTTTAAACTTTGGGGAAAATAAAGCACTAACACTGTGGTAAGGAATATGCATTGTATTTTTCTTGAAATAAAATAGAAGATGTGCATATTTACCCCTGTGTTTACTCCTCCTCCTTCTACTTCTCTTCTTCAGTCTCGTATCTCTTCCATTTCCTCTTCTCTCTCTCCTCTTGATCCCTTTTGTTTCTTTCCTCCTTCTTTCTTCTTTTACCTCAGTACCATTATTAGTATTATCAATTATTGAGTTACATTAGCACTTAGGTGCTGAAGTCAGGATTGGGATCACGTTTTGCTAGGCACTATACAAAAACATAGTAGCTGTCCCTGCTCCAAAGAGCCTACAACTTAACAGACAAGATAAACAAAGGATTGGAGGGGAAACAGAGGCAGGGTGAGGTGTAATGACTTGCCCAAGGTGGCACAAAGCAGGTGAGGAGGATAGCAAGGAATAGAAGATGGGTGCAGAGCCCCACCCCAGTACCCTGTCCAGTAGACCACCCACCTCACATCTTTTCACCTCTTTCTGCTTTCTATTTTTTGTGTTCCTCATCCATTTGCTCTTTTCCATCTTAAATACACTCTGAGTTGGAGTGACATTTTGAGACTGTTCTGTAGCCATAAACATTTCTCTTCTGATACCATTTACACTGGTGAAGCATCACTGATTTCAGTGGAATGTCTCCTGACTTATACAGGAGTATGTGAAATCACAATTAGGCCCACTGGCTTCACATACCAGAAGAATACATGTATGTTCAGGTTAGGCACCAAAATATATATTTAAAAAAATGAATGTAGACAGGGAAAAGGCAATATTTGGTGCATTTGTGTTGTAATTTACATGCTGCACAAATCTAACTCGGATACTATAGAGATAAGACACATCTCCTATTAGTTCTTAAAGGACTACATCAGCTATTTTGCTGGGCCCAGTAGTCTGAAAATGTGAAAGGTAAGCAGTGCTTTTCACCATGATGAGTAACCTATTTGAAGGTATAGTTTCTAAATAGACTTGATGTATCTAAGGCTACTGATAGCCAGGGTCATCTTGCTATGATGACTCTGGAGGGTAAAAGCACGAAGCTGATGTATAGACTGTTAAATCAGTACTGAAAGCAGGTTGGAAATTGGCTTGCAATGGCAGAAAAAAACATAAAGTAGCAGTAGTCCCCTTTCCTCTTTCCCAAGCGCAATTTTTTTTAACTTTGAAACTGAGAAAATTATGTTTGCTTAAACTTTTAAATTTAAAATTTTCCTCACTCTCCAATATTTTAGTTTGTTCCCAGGAAAAAGTGCTTCTTATCTTTCAGGCTTTTAGATTGAGGGGCTTGACATAATGGCACATGTGGCATCCCTAACTTAGAAAATCCACTCTCCTAAATCACAATCTCCAGTAGCTAATTAAAAATTAGATGAACTGCCTTCTTGCTCAGGGCAAATATTGGATTTCTTGGATGGTAACGTATGGATTAAACTTTGTTACTTCATACATTTTATTATTCTGTAGGGGCGGCATCATAGTTGTCCAAGAATAAGTGGTTACCCACACAAAATGATCCTGCTAGGGATTTAAGTACACAGTGCAGAAAATTCAGAAGTTACAGTTTTTCCAGAGCATTTGTCCTTTTTTGCACACTCACTCATTAATATTCCTGTGTATATTGATGATTTATGCCCATCATGGTCAACATGCCCCCTTTGTCCAGGGCATACACGCATGTTGGGTGATTCACCTGCACGCACCCACGTTCTCTCATCACCTACAATTCAAGCTCACACAGCCGCTCTTCTTTAAGTGCTTGTTGATTTCTCCTTCCCTCTCTTTTTCTGGGTGCAGGACTCTCCTTGGCTTCGCCTGAGAATCCTGGCCTCCGAGGGTCCTGGTTTTGCCTGAGAGTAAGAGCAGGAAGCAAGCACTATCTGCCCCATTTATAAATGTAGTATAAATCCTTACTGCTCTTATTCAGGCAAACGGGTTCCTTCAGGTTCTGGTAAGGGGGGTCTGTAGCGAGTACTGTGTTCCAGGTCACATGGAGAGTTAGAACTCTAACCAGTAGCTCTGATGCTTTTCTCCTCTGATGGTCTTTTTTTTCCCTCCCCATGCACCAATTGGACTCATGTTCTGAAGTGGAGAAGCTGGGAAGATCTCCTACTGCTTTCCCAAGCTCATGGGAGGAGCAGGGATGGGACAGAGAAAGCTCCCAAGGGCTCCCTCTGGCCCTGCAATGACATCCTTCTGCCTCCAAGGGAGAGGAATGAAGGTTTCCCTGCTGCTCCCCTTTCCTTGACTTCTTTGAGAGGACAGTGAAATTTCCTCTTTCCAGAGGAAAAGGGGAGTGAGATAGTAGCACCCCTTATGAAAAATCAACATCAGGTAAGTGCTGGAGAGCCGAGGGGCTATTCATCTGGCCCGGATCTCACCAGATTGTGTATCTGCATTACATACATGAGTTATTTATTTTAAATGAAGAGGCTAGATTTGTGTGTGTGTGGTTTCTATGTGTGTGTTTTTAATGGTTATGCTGGATTTTTGCCATGCCACAAAACTGATTAGAAATTATTATAATGAAAAGGGGGCAGTGGATCATTTCAGAGATGGGTAACATGTCTGGGGGAAGGCAAATCTGAACACTTTCACAGTTGTTGGATGAGCAAAGGGTGCAGGTTCCCCACCATCACTTCCAGGAGCTACTACTGTACTAATTTTTTGGGTCAAAGACGAGACCAGTATTTAGTTATCTTAATATTTATACTGGTGTGTGTTTGTGCTATTATTTATGTGCAATAGTGCCCACTGCATGCCAGGCACTTGGTGACAGTTCCTGCTCCAAGAAGCTCACACTCTAAAGCCATAGGTCAGGGGGAAGGAGAATAACAATAGGCAATTTATATACAAATCAACAAGATTTACTGTAGGCAGCGTGCGAGAGCTGGGGCTTTTGAGAGACATGTAAATGCGGGCAGGGTTAGGTGCCTTACAGGTGACCTCAGGGAGGTCAAACTATGTGTAGGGGGCTGCATGAAAGGAGGTGTGTGGCACAGATTTTGTGAAAATCTGACAAAATGAGTGAACAAGGTTGGGAATGGGGAAGGGGAGAGGCGGGGAAGGCAAGACAGTGTTTGACAGGAAGGATAAGAAGGGAGAGACAGAACTTTGAGAGTGGTGACCAGAAGCTTAAATTTGAGTTTGGTATAATCGGATGAGAAGCCAATGGCAGGATTCAAAAAGGAGAGTTAAGTTACAATGTACATACAAGTTGCAGTGTGGTTGGATTTATTATGTTAGCAGCTATTGTACGCTTGAATTTTCTGGCTCTTTTTTGTTTAAACTCTCAACTATATAATGTTAAGTTTGTGTAGGGATTTTTTTATTTTTATTTCTTTTGCATCTAATTTCCTAAGCTTTCTAACAGGAGTAAAAAACATTAACTGAGTGCATACCATGTTGAGTTCCCATTACCTTTGGGTTGAGAACAACCATAACAAACTTCGGTGCAAAGAGTAACTTCTCTGAAAGTTGTAAGTACCTGAAACCAGGGACTTGGACTGTAAGCACACTGGGGCCAGGGCTGTCTTGTTTGTTTATGTTTCAAGCAGTGCTCAGAGGCCTCTGGGTGCTAGGGTAGTACAAATAATAATTCAGTTTAAAACAAACGGAAGTATTTTTTTTCACATAACATACAGTCAACCTGTGGAACTCCTTGCCAGAGGATGTTGTGAAGGCCAAGACTATAACTGAATTCAAAATAGAACTAGATAAGTTCATGGAGGACAGGTCCATCAATGGCTATTAGCCAGGATGGGCAGGGATGGTGTCCCTAGCCTCTGTTTGCTGAAGCTGGGAATGGGCGATGGGATGGATCATTTGATCATCTGTTCTGTTCATTCCCTCTGGGGCACCTGGCCACTGTCAGAAGACAGGATACTGGGCCAGATGGACCTTTGGTCTCACCCAGTATGGCCATTCTTATGTATGTTCTTATAATAATTTAGAATAAAAACTCTTCAGCCATAATTCTATCATTACTTTGTGTGTGTGTGTCTCTCTCTTTCTCTCTCATTCTTCCTCCATTTGGAAGGATGAAATGCAGAGCTTTTTCTAAGAAGGTATCTAACATGTGTCCTCAAATTAGCCAGTAAGTGGCATTACAAAAAGGTTACAGCAAGTGGTTGGCAATTTGCCCATCCTTCTTGCCACTGGAAACATAATGCTCGTGCATGTGCTCATTCATAAGACATCTGCGTGCAGAGCCAGTCCTGGGGACACACAAACTGTGTGGTTGTGTGTGGCCTCATTGGTGGCCAAAGAACATGGCCTGGGAGCAACGGTAATAAACCGTTTTTTCTTTGACAGTACGACGGAAGGGGTGAGAACTACGGGAGCCAAATTTGCAGAGGAGGAGTGGGAACATCCTGGGATGGGTGGGGAGATGAGAAGTAGGGTGGGTAATTGGCAGTGCCATTGTGTGGTGGAGGACTTCAGATAATTTCTAACCCTCAGCATTCTTCGCATAATGAAGTAATACCATAATAGCACTGAATGCCCTGAGCACAACAAGATGGAGTGATTAATTAAAGGTGATTTTGATCATTGACTTAAATCATTTGGTTTTTGTTTTTGTTTTTTTTATTGACTTAATTGACTTAAATCAGGTTGAGGCTTCATGAAAACTAATTTGAAAATTTACGCTATTACAATGTCGGATTATAATTTAAGTGCCACTACTCAGTGGGTATCGTATTGGAATTTTACAAAATTGCTGTAAGCAAAAATCAAAATTTTGAAATCTGAGGCGTTATCCTGTGAACACACAAGCAGGTATGAGGCTTCACCCACATGAATGTTCCCATTGATTTCAAAGGGCTAAAATTGGGTTTTTGTTAAGCAAATTTCTCCTAGTGGCATAAAATCTGTCGCTTCAGAAAAAAAATTGCTTCGGTGTAAACCGTGAAAAGTTATTTACATTGTCAATATGTTAAAGTTATTGTGAAACTTTTTTACGCACACAGATCAAAATGTTCAAAAACAACCTACAGTTAGCTTCTTAGTTCAGTCTTAGGCACCTAAGTGACTCAGGAGCACAAGACCCATTGACGTCAGACTGCAGGCTCTGATGGAGAACAGCCTGGTCGAAACAGTTCAGCTTGTTTAACCTGTGGAAGCTCAATATATCGTAAGGGGGTGTTGGTTGCAAATACCGCATGGGCTGTTTGCTTATCAATCCTGTGCTTGCATTTGTGGTGGTCTCACAGTTGGGATGTTAATGAGGCCTTGGTCTTGTCCTTTTCGGCATAGAGGGGCATGAAAGTTCTTGGGAGAAAAAAATCTTCATGTAAATTCTACTGACAAGTCGCTGTCGTATCTGAAGGCTTCTCAGACAGGAATGGGCCCTCGCTGCCTGTGGCTGACCTCGGCCTGCCCCTGGGCTGGAGGCTGTGAGGGGGGTAGTTTAGTGCTGGCTATCCTGGATCCCTGCTCCTACAGGATTCTGCTACACAAGAGGGATCCTCACCTGGCCACTTAGGTCAGCATTGACTATGTTTGCTCTGCTTCAGCTGTTTGACGGGGCTGAGGATCTGGTCCAGCTAATTTAAACTCGCAAGCACCCTGTCAGGTAGAAAGAGAGTTTTATCCCTGTTTTACAGATGAGGAAACTGGAGCACAGATATTCCTCCCCTCCCCCGGAAATCTGTGTCAGAAGAAGTAGTAGAAGCAAGACCTTCTGATTATCAGTCCTCTGCTTTAATCACAAGATATTTCTTGAGCCACTTACTAAAAAGCAGCTTAGATTGTTACCCTGTTAGTGGCTCGACCTCCCCATGCAGGCTTGTAGATACAGTGAATGATCACGTAATAAGTGGAGATATTTTGTTAGTGTTTCTCTTTACATAACGCACTAAATTATGTCATAGGGAGAGGTTTTGTTCACGTGTCTTAGTGCTTATGCACTATGGTTGTATTTTTGGCTTTCTCATATTATTTCTAAGCTGTTGTTAACCGATAAGGAGACAGATGTGTGGGTAACAGTATGTGCAGTCAAATCATCCTCTTGGCTTTTAGGCACAGAGGGAACAAAAGGTGTTCATGGACCAAGCAAAGATGACTTGTAAGCACGTAATGGAAGGATGGCCCAGTGGTTAGAGTGCTGGCCTGAGCTGTGCGGGAGATGAGTTCAATTCCTGCTCTGCCACAGACTTCCCGTGTGGTCCTTGGCAAGTCACTTAGTCTCTCTCTGCCTCAGTTCCCCATCTGTAATATGGAGGTGATAGAGAAGCACTATCTCAGAGAGTTGTGAAGATAAATATACTCAATATTGCGAGGCACTTAAATGCTAGGATGAGAGCCCATACGAGGGTCTTAGATAGAAAATGAGGGGAAATTCTAAACAGCATCTTTCTCTCCCTGAAGCTCTTCTGTAACAACAGCATGTAGTTTGGGCACAGAGTTTTTGTAGGTATGTTGATGAAAGCCACTTGATGTGGTGGTCCCACAGCAAAATACACATGGGTGTTAATGCTGAGTATCTAAGTCTTCATAATGGAGGACTTTTCCTGTACTGTATCACAAGCTGCTACTTTCATCTCTCCTCCATTTTAATGGCTTACACATGATACTGACTGACTTATTTCAGGTGTGGGGGATGCTATATATATTACACAGTACCACTGCCATCTTCCTTAATTATGTATGAGGCATGGCCATTATACCTATTTCCTGATATATATTAACAGAAGGAAAGGAAATAATACCAACCAGAGTTGGAAATTAGTTCAGTGGCTTGACTGGTTAGCGGTGGGGCAGCGATAAGCATGAGGTATAAAGTACAAACTGGTTTTCTTTAAGGCTAACTCCAGGCAGCTGTGTGCTCTGGTAGGCTGGGAATATAGGAGACCAGTGATGGCAATCGTACGTCCCTCATGTTGTGCATGTGGCTTGCAATGCTTGACTGCGACACATACTTCATTTTACACAGATTCCACGCTGTTGTTTCCTATGTGAAAGGTCAGCGTACAACGTATGGGGCCCCAGACGCACCAAGAAGTATTGCATATACTGCAGATGGCATATTTCTCATATACCGCATGCTCAGCATCTACCAGCTTGAGTCAGAATTGGGGTATTTCCACTCTGACACTGAAAGGCCTAATCTCCTTTTTATATTTTTAATATATTGCCTCTGAAATCATCTGAAGCTGTTGGAGAGCTGCTTAGGCCAATGGTAGAGCTTTTCATTTTTTAGAGGGCTCCCATGCATATCAGATTGGGCTCCTAGCCGCTCACCAGCCCCAGTTTGAGCAATTTAAGTCCCAAACTTGTCCCACGAGTACTTACAAAATGCAGAGCCTGATCCTGAGAGGTTTTTACAGGTGTTC